ACAAACAAACAACGTCCACCTCCGATAGGACCGAGTCAAATGGATGGAGAACCTTAAAAACTTCCGAAAACGATCTACATTTTTAGAACGCTATTTTGGGTATTCCAGCCGGGGCCACCCGCTCCATAGTCAAGCATGATACCAACTAAGCTAACAGATGCCCTAACAGTAAAAGTTCAATCAAATATCAATCAAATCTCCTATATATTACAGCTGCTCATATTGTTCGGGGTGAAACTCCCATACAGATGAAAATCTTTCAGAAGTAAAATGCACCAAGAGCTTCGGTGTCACACGAGTCCCCAATTTCACGTACACTTTACACAAACAAAATTGTAAAAGAATCCAAACAAGAAATTACTTTTTTAATTGAACTTAAAGATCAGTCGACAAACTGAAAGAAGTATGTGAAAAAAGTCTTTTGAATTCTTTGACACCCCCCCCCCCCCCCCCCCCCAAACCTCTCCTTTCCGGAAACTCCCCGACAGGACAACATACCCGAAAGATACCTGTAAACTGGCTTGTATAAAACCAGAGAACTGTAGTTGGGTAACGACGTATCATTCCTGATCCCGGGTTGGACTTTTTGTTGCAACCGAAATTGGCAGCGGTTAGACTCTTTGTCCGGCTTACAGCTCTGAAGATTTGTGTCCACCCAAGAGTCACCGTCCAACCTGATAACAACATTCCATTTTAAAAAATAACACTCTGTTTTGATGAATGTGGATTTAGTCACAGATGCCCAGTTTTCATACAACAAGTCTTACATTAAAATTGTATTTTTGTGTAACCAGAAATAGATACGTACGTGTTATTTCGGTTTGGTAAACGGGAAAATAACATGAGAAATATAAACAGCAACCCATGACATTTCATATGAACACACAAACACCCTATCATCCCATTTTGATTCTGACATCTGTAACTTTCAAAATAAAGCGGCAAATTACGTACGATAGATATGCCCTCAGCTTCTTCAAAAAATCCATAATTAGGTCAGTGATAAAGGTGCAAACATTCTCAAGGGCAGTGTATCACTGGAAAGCCATAAGACACATATCAGTCTGTTGTTGAACTCTATAGAAATCGGGCATCCCATATTTCGTCTGATCGCAATTAAAACAAGATTTTTCAATATAATGAATCGCTCCGTTTAATCTTTTTCAGGTTTGCATGCGGGTCTAAAAGTTGGACGACCAACTGAATCTAAAAGTCCTTTAATGATGATAGCTGCCAACTATAGCTTGTACACCTTTGTCTGGCCGTGGTTACAGGAAGATTTTTTAAAAATAAATCGCTCTGTGTAATCTTCTCAGGTCCTGCATGCGGGTCTGAAAGTTAGATGACCAACAGAATTTAAAAGCCCATTAATGATGGTCATTGCAAACTATTATTCCGACTTGATTAAAGCCTAAAGCGAGTCAAAAAAAATAACATGGGTTTACAGAATATAGATCTACCTAAAACACCGATTTTCTTAAACGCCATAACTTACGCTTATCAAACTCAGTCCAATAGACAGGGTGTGTACTTTTCGAGACCCACGTGGATACGTCCAGTCTCCGCAAGGAACCTTGAAGTATACTATTACACTAAAATACTGGGCAGGGTGGTGTCGCTGTCTCAAAAGGATCAAGTTAAAGGCTAGGTTTTGTGTAGTGATCCTATTTATGCACCCCCCAAAGGATGACGTTTTATATAGCGACCAAATGTAGGTCACTGACCTACAGGAGGAGAAAGTACCATGCAAAGTTCCATGGGTATAAGTACAGGCTAAAACAGCACCTGGACATGGATGGCTGGTGCCTCTATAAATAAATCATTGATGGTCCGGGTATAAGTACATTAATAAATGAGCGAGAATTCTTCTACGCGGACAGACAAAAGTGAACACGTTATAGTGCAGGGAGAATTTTCTCTCGGTACTCAGTAAAGTGCAGGGGTGAAAATACCGTTAAAATATCTGCCCTCATCGGTCAGAAATTATATTAAGTTGCACTCTAACTTAAGAACCCAGTTTTGGAGAGGCTAAAATAAAAGCATTAAAAAACAAAGCAAAACAACAAAAACATGCTCACACGATATCAGTCCACCGCAGGGTGGCATCAATACTCAAGTACAACTGGGCTATTTCCTGAACCGAGTTTGTTGGAAAGTTCACTGCCATCACTTTACCAGTGATGTTACTGTTGATGACATCTGTAACGTTTCTAAAAATAGGATTGAGGCCCACATTTTTTGAAGGAATCTGGGGAAAAAACGTTTGGCACCCGTTTAGTTTTTTGAAGGTCTAACGCACAACGTCTACTGCAAGTCCCTCCCCGGTGACCACGGTCTACCTCAATCAAGCATAATAAGTCCCCACTGATTGACCACTGTAACGACAGCGCATGGGGGAGGGGGGGGGCATTTAGACCCAAGATGGTGGTGTTACACGGTATGTAGGATTGCTTCATTTTATGGTGTAGTTTAGATCAAATAAATCTGCATCTGTAAAGTTTGTGATTGACAAGTAAATCGAGCTTCAAGTGACCAGACAGGACTGTGAAAATTCTACCCCACCCTAACCCCCTATTTCTGCTCCTGCACCCCCCCCCCCCCCCACCCAGACACCCACAAATACACACACACCCGCCCCGACAAACTACAACCTCCAAAACATTTTTGATATGGCCAATGACAGTTCCAAGCCTGTATAAACTGGTAGACCTTCAACTAAACCAGTTTTCAGACAGGTCCAGCAGTAAACCTTCAACTACACCAGAAACGATGCGGTAGACCTTCAACTAAACCGGCACTTTAAACTGTTATGTTTAGAGAAACTAACTCGTACCTTATACAATGGCAATGTAGCTTTGTACGGGAAACGTTCTTAAGGAATTATATCGAAAGCTTAATTAATTACTGTCGGAATTTCGTGTTACGGTGGTAACACTTCTAATAAGCAATTGCGTATGGACAGAGGAAAACAGCAAAAGTTATAAAGCTAAAAATGCATTTCACTCCACTCTTTCACTGAGCTTTAGAATACCAATATTACGAGAGCCGCAATAAAGACCGCTCCTGGCACCAAATATCCCTTCAACTCCAGAATACCAAACATCTTATTGAAGTAAATTTTCATCATTTATTCTCGATCAAGAACCAACTGAATTTTTTTTTTAATTCATTCACACCGTCATCAGTTCAAGCTACCCAGGCACTGTCATCTGTGCGAGAACAATTTAATTTTGTCTGCCCATCCAATTACTATTCGTGCGAGTGAATCTGCTTGTGTGAGTGCGTGTGTGAATGTGTGTGTGAGTTTGTGTGCGTGTATGTGTGTGTGTGTGTGTGTGCGCGTGTGTCTTTGTGAGGGCGCATATGAGTGTTAACATTGACATGTGTGTTTGTGTGCATATATAATTTGCTATTCGTAGCGAATTTTCTTTGTGAAGATTAATAAAACGTTTTCTTATCTAGCTTTTCTTTTCGCATATATCTCTCAAAAAAACAACAACAATCAAATACAAATAAGATACCGTGTTGACTCCCATATCATTTGTTCGAACCCTCGTCTTTTGTGCCAACATATCTAATGTGTATCATACAAAGCAACTATCTCTTCACGTATAACAATTAGTAATATAAGCATACAAACGATCCTACCAATACCACCTGGGAATAAACTACTCGGGACCGCCTTGTCTGGCTCTCCCTCGTAAGATCCGTAGTATCTGAATTTAAAGAGGGACGCATCAGATACGAAGAAGGGAGACGATACTTGAGAAAAGACCAAAAGACCTTCGGCGCCAACTGTGATCCCCAAGGTGACCCTGAATCATTTTCTAGTTCAAATAAAATACGTTGGAGGGGGCGGGGAGAAGAAAAATTAACCAATACCGGTTAAACGATAGCCAACATTTACTTCAACATGGACTTCGATCCAATTGCATAGGAAGAGTCGGATTCACATGAGTATTTACCACTGTACAAAGAAATGTGTCTCCACTTATTAACCTGCAAATTTAGTTCAAGAAAAGATGAATGTTTCTAATGGACCAATATCTGACACAAGACTCTCTCCGCAAACCTAACTTAATCTGTAAGTTCAGGGTCATTTAAAAGACCCCATCAAACAGAATCAGGCGAAAAGGATCGACAGCTTTGAAAATTCTGACTTCGACCAAACTCTAAAATGTCTCAGGGGGATTCAGACCAGTATTATTTTCATTGCAGTTCAATATAATGCCAACTGAGGTATTTCAGGGCAAAACCATAAGCTGGGAGAACACGAGAATGCTACTGATGGTGATAGTAATGATAATGAAAGCTTTGTGTTACTGGCACCGTCCTTCTAGACTCAGTAGTAAGGAGAGATGAGACAAGACCGCTCAACGTGCAGGTGAAAAGGCCCAGTGGTATCTGAGAGATACTCTATCTTACCCGAACCCACTATCCACGTCTGAAAAATACGGGAGTATAAACAAATAAAGTATCGCCCCTCTTATATCGAACTGCTTCTTTTGGTGTGCAAGATCCGGAGTCGCGGTGGTAGTCACAGAGAGATTGCAGCTATGTCGTACAGCCGGTGCGCTGTGCAATTAAGTTTCAGCAATTCTCCACTGTAACACATTTGACACATTCCATACATTTAACAGCAGCCAGATTTTCCCTCTTGGAAGGGCAAGAACTGTAGCACAAGTTGATGAAATCCTTGAAGATGAAACATGCTTGTTCTTTGTTTGTTTATTTGTTTGTTTGTTTATCTTTTTGGGTTTTTCTTTTAACACTGTGTGATACGTTTAAGACATTTTATGAAAACAAAACGATCAAGACCAAGAGGCTACTACGAATTTAGGGAGTCAGACTTTTAGTATGCCTATTGATTGCAATAGGCCTTTCTGTACTTTCGGGTCAAATCTGATGGAGCAAAGTAGGGCTCAATATAAACTTCAGTGTGCAATGGGCCACCATCAATGGGAACTGATCTGATCACGCAGAATGAGTCCATTTAAACAATGAGCATCCATCAACACATGTATGATACAAAAGACTGTGACCGTGGTGATGTATAAAGACAAACTTTTTTTTCTTTTTTTTTTCTTCTTTTTTATAGTTTTTTTGGTGTTTTTTTTTGGGGGGGGCGGGATATGTTTAACTTCTAGGTAGCCTGTAGCAGTAGTCAGTCTATCGCCACACATCCAGACAGGGAGAGATGGTTACCTCAAGTGTCCAAGAACCGAAGTACTCAGGATTGCTGGTAGTCATCAGATGTCGCTGGGTATCCGTAGAACGACCAATGTCTCCTACAGAACATTTTGGTCCACATGGTCCTCGCCCTAGTCTCCACCCAGTAATGACAGTGAATCGAATCTGAGATGAAAGCAAAATACAATGACAACCATCATTATCATCCTTATCATATCGTTATCATCCTCTTCGTCATCATTGTTGAAAAAGCAAAGTAAGAAGAGAGAGTCTTAACTCACTTTCAGTCAGTAAATGCAAATAATAAAATTCTCCCCCAAAAAGTGTTTATCAAAACGGCTCCTCGATTCACCTCGAAGGCATCATTCATCATCATCATCATCATCATCATCATCACCATCATCATCATCATCATCATCATCATCATCATCATCATCACCATCATCATCATCATCATCATCATCATCATCATCATCATCATCATCATCATCTTCAAGTGCCAGATCTGCAACCACTTATTCTTAGCTCGAATCGAATGCCCTATACAACATTTCATATATCTTTCTTTTTCCGTCACACA